ATATATATATATATATATATATATATTACATATATATACATATGAAAAATATATCAAAAATGCATGTGGGTACTCAAATGAAAGCTCTTGATGAGTGTAACATCGGAATATTAATATTATTATAGAGTTAAATTCTTGAAACAAAAAATATTTATGAAAAGCTTAATTGTTTTAATTAAAGTAAAAAAAATTCTTTAATTAAATTTTATTAATTTAAATAAATTTTACTTTTTAAAACAATAAAGCTCTTAAAAATAATTTTTTTGATTGCCTTTAATAAATTTCTTATATTAATTTATCAGTTATCGATTGAAGTGAAAAAATCCCGACATGGTCAGACATAAAATAATTAATTTGAATTAAATTTATAATTTTACCTGGTTCCAATTTTATATTGTTATTGGCAACACTGGAGTTATTGTTATTGTTGTTGTTATTAATGACACATGAGGGAATGTTGTGGTTGATCGGGGTGTCGGAGGCCTTCATGCCACTCTTAGGTTTTCTCTTTCGCGTTTGGATGTTGTCTTTCTTCATAGCCAGCGGCCTGTTAACGTTGTGCAGCTTGTAGTACAATCCGCAGGCATTGCAAACTGGCTCTCCGCAAGTGTTTCTGCGCCAGAGTGATGTTATTGTCGTCTGACAGTTGCTGCATGACAGACCTACCCGCCTTGACGCCGACTAGACACAAATTTTCTAAATTATTATATTGAAAATTTTTTTAAGTAGTTTTATTTATCAACCCTTCATCGCTTTTTTATTAATTATAAAAGTAGAAAAAAATTTATTAAATTATTGAATATCAAAAAATTTTACAATATTTTAAAAAAAAAACAAATTTTTTTAGAAAAAAAAAACCAAATTTTCTAAAGTTTTTATCATATAAATTTCTTTAAAATATAAAAATTCTTGATACTTTTTATTAAATAATTGTTATTTAATAATAATTACAAGGTCTGTTTTTTTTTTAACAAATATTTGTTTGACGGTCAATTATATAATTATTTATGACACTGAAGTTAGCAGACGTCTAAAAATTTTTGATTTTTTTTTTTTTTTAATTAAATTACAACTAAAAAGATATTTATAAAAAATGCACTTTATAGTTTTTTAAGTTTTTAACATATGAAATTTTTTTTTTAATTGTTTAGTTGAAATTTTTTCGATAAAAAATTCATAAAAATTTTCAATTGTCAGCCAACTTCATTTTCATAATTATTTATATTACCGACCCGGTACAACCAATTTAAAAATAAATTTATAAAGAAGAAATAAATATTTTTTATACAAAAATTGATCCGTCAATAAATTAAATAAATTTTTTTAAAGCTTGCGTGTTAAAAAAACAATTCATAAAATACCAAATACAAAAATGCTTATATTAAATAATTATTTTTAATATTAATAATTACAAGGTCTGTTTTTTTTTAACAAATATTTGCTTGACGGTCAATTATATAATTATTTATATTACCGACCCATTACTACCAATTTAAAAATAAATTTATAAAGAAGAAATAAATATTTTTTATACAAAAAATGAGGAAAATTAAATAAATTTTTTTAAAGCTTAAAATGTTAAAAAAACAATTAATAAAAAAATCCTTATCCTTAAATTAGTGCAAAAAAAATTAGAATGAAGGGTTGAAATAAATAAAAACATTTAAAAATTACATGCAATCAAATGAAGAGGTACCATGGGTATAGTGGCACCTCAAAAGTGTAAAGAAAAAAAATAAGAGAGTAAAAAGTAATAAAATGTTAAATAACAAAATGATAAATAATTATTAATTAGTTATTATTTTTTCGGAAGGTTTGATGACACCTACCAAGCGGCGGCTCGATTTCTCCTCGAGGACGCGACGGGTGCCATTATACCCATAGAAGCCTTTGTAGAATTCGCCCGGGTCCGCCACTGAAACAGACAGGAGGCCAAGCGTTAGGGTCATTTATTCTCAAAAATCTCAAACCACTAAATCACTAATCACACCGAGTACAAAGAGCAAGAACAATGGGGGAGGAAGTGCGCGATGAGAGGCAGCACGGGCGAATTTCCACTCAGGCTCCTGGTCCAAAAAAATTTATCTCTTTTTTTTTTCTTTATTTTTTTTTCAAGAGGTTTGTTATGATTTTTTTGACGAGCGAGCCTCTGCTTACCAGTCGCCGTGGTTGCTTCACGAGTGGCCGGTTCATCCCATTCATCTTGTGGTAGAGGCCGCAGGCGTTGCAAAGGTAGTGTCCCGTGCCGTCTCTTCGCCAAAGGGGGGTCGATATTGCCCCGCAGTTCACGCACTCGCGACCCTCCGTAAAGTATTCCGCATCGATGTTGTGCACTGCAGGTTTTTTTTTTTTTATATTTTTTCAGTCTTAATCTAAGATTTTATTTTACGTTTCATATGTTGGCGTATAATTAATTACCGTGTAAAAAAATTTTATAATAATTATTGTGTCCTTGAAAAATTGCTAGAAATTTTTAAGTCATGAAAATCAATTTAAAAATATTTTATTATATATTTTATCGGTGGAAAAAAATTTACGTTTATATATACTTTGGTGAGAACTTTCTACGAGCGAGAGCGCGTAGCCACCTAGCGGTGAAACCAAGCACTAACTTCTAATAAAATTAATATTTTTTGTTTTTAAGGAAGTTCGAGCGTAACTAATGAGTCAAAATAATGTGAAAATTTTTTTTAAATTTTAGTTGTCCCAATATTTGTCAAAATTCTTTATTTTAATTTAAAATACTTTTAACAATTTAATAAAGTAAAGTAATAAAATGACTTTGGTATTTATTACTTGCCAGAATAAATAAATATTTTGACACAAGTGCGCAAAGCGCACTCGATTTTTTAGTATAAAATAAATTATAAAAATCAATTAATTTAGTTTATTTTAAATTAAGCTTTCAAACTTCCTAAACTTGACAAAAAAAAACTGCCTGGATTTAATAGATAAATTTATGATAAAAAAAATAATTTATTTTTATAAGAACCAAGTAGTTTTTTCTAAGTACACTAGAATTCAAATTTGCGCGCGCCTTGACTATGGAGTTTGCATATATTTTCATGCCTATGATATATTCGATCAATCACGTTACGAATAGTTTGATGCCACATACATTTCATCTCATTTTTATTATGGGATTATTTATCTTTATTAAAGTACACATTTCAATTTAAAAATCATTTCATAATATTAATTAGATTTTTCGGACTTTGTACCCAGTCATTAGAATCGAGTTGCGAGTCATTGTCATTAGTAAGCCATTTTTATTTAGCCCTAGGTGATATCCTAATACGACCAATTGGCCATGGCTATTTGATTAGTTTGGATTAACTAAGCGAATAGCGTACGTCGACCTAATTTTTTTTTTATGTGTAATTAACTTTTAATTACTGTGAAATAACAATTCAAGGTCCTAATACACGTGCCTATAATATTCTATTTTATCGTGAATAATTATCGAAATTACCAAATAAGTATTTAAAAATTTTTTAAAGGGTTGTTTAATTTCTAAAATTTTTTCTACTCAATCAAATATTAATAAAGACAATAATTATCTTGGACAAAATAAAATTTTTCTAAGCGAAAAAAAAATTTCTGGCTTGAGAAAAATTTTACGATGTTATAATTTTACAAATTAAACTTACACCTTAGCTATATAATTGCAGTAAATATTGCCATTTTTTGAATTAAGTAAAATATTATTACGCTTCTAGTTTTTAATAATATCAAAAAAATTTTTAATAAATTATAGTTTAAAAAAGTAAAAAATGCGGCTCTTGATAGCAAACCAAACTAAAAAGATAGAAAATAATTTTGAATGATTTTTAATAAATTAAAAATAAGAATAGTGATTAACAAAAAATTCAATTTTTGGCAAAAAAAAGCGTCGGGTGCTTCTTAAAATATTTTTGTAATAAATTTACGTTTAAAAAATCGACCAATAAATTAATTACAACAATTTCATCAGTCCAGAAATTTTTTTACAAAAAAATGAATTTTTTGTTAACTATACTTTAATTTTAAATAAATTTTAAAAATTATTTTCTTCTTTTTAATTTTTGGCTTTCTATTAAAATTTATTTTTTACTTTTGTTACTTAGTTTATTTTTTTTAAGCATTTTATTCTACAATTTAAATAAAAAATATAAATTTTTGGATTAAAAAGTTTAAAAATAATTGAAATAAAAATTTTTCGTTAGTATTTTATAGAAAAATTAAATTAAAATAAAAACTTGTGGATAAATTTCATTACTCAAGGGTACTTTACATAAAAGTAATCTACTAGTCGCAGAACGGAAGACTGAGAAATTTCAGTCCAGGGGACAGGAATAGGACCTGAATCTAAATAGTATAATGAAGCGAAGCACAAGGGAGTTGATACATATACGTACGTACATAACGTGGAAAAAGTACGAGTGTGGGCGGAAAAGTGTTATCTCGGCTTCCGGCAATAGCTGATAGCGGAACAGACACGTTACATGTAATACAGTATCAGAAAAAACGAACACTGCTCTTTTTATAAAAAATATATGTTATATATTAGTGCTCGTGGGTTTTATTAAGCTTTTAAATATTTTGAAAAGCAGTGGTACTTTTAGTATTTACCTGCATTCCGTCAAGTACGTACTAATGTCGACAATATTATCGGAAATTCCATGCACCGGCTGCGTGACTTTGGTGTCATTAAAACTCACTTAAAGATTATTGGCTAATGTAATATTTTGTACTTAGATAATATGTTTTATTTTTTTGACCTAAATAATTTTTATTTTCAGGCGACGGAGGAAAAAATTATTTAAATATTTTAAAAAAATTCTCATCTGGAAATTTTCGTTTAAAAAAGTAGAAAACACGCTTAATTAATTAACCGGACAATTTTGAAGGGTTTTTAATTAATTTAAAATGAATTAATTACAAATATGTTTATTGAGTAAAATTTAATCTTAATAATTATTTAATAAAACTGAGGAAAAATTCACTCTTGATATAAAAAATTAAAATTTTAAATTAATAATTAATTAATAAAGAAAAAAAAAGATTTGAATTGCAGGATAAAGGGTTTTATTAAACATGAAAGACTAAACAGTTAAAAAGATTGAAATTACTTAGCAGAATTGGAATTGGATATTACATAAGTAAAGCTACGAGCGAAAAATACGATGACGCCCGCGTAAAGTTTAACCTCAGATTGCTCTCGGCGTCTCACTGACGCCGGTATAATGTCCTGAGGAATGTGCATCCGATGCTAAAACTATTCAATGAACCCTCTAAGCATCTCAGTACATTAGCCTTTCGTTTTATTTTATATTACCCGTGTAAAAAAAAAATCGTCTTAAAATTGTCTTAAAATTGTCGTTCGTTTAAGATCTTAAACGTGACACAAACTAAGACTATTTTAAGACTCTTTTAAGACGCCAAAAGAAAAATTCCGAGAGCAGATTTTTGAAAATTTTGTTCTCGAATTTGTTGTGAAAATTAATTTTTAGATGATTTTACGACTTTCTAACCGCAATATTTTTGAGTAAGATGTTTTTAAATTGTTTAAAAATTATTATCTGACAATTTTAAGACTTTTTTAAGACGTTCCGTTTTAATGTTCCGGGACTCTGTCATCTTAAAAGAGTCTTAAAATAGTCTTAGTTTGTGTCACGTTTAAGATCTTAAACGAACGACAATTTTAAGACAATTTTAAGACGATTTTTTTTACACGGGTAAATAAAATATTAAATTATTAATGAGTTTACTATTTTTATATTATTCTTAAGGTCTTTTATTTAAAAATAAATTAATTTATTATTATTATTATTATTATTATTATTATTTTTTTCTTTGACAGAAAAACAAATATTTTTATTTAAATGACTTTAGATGTTAGATAGGCTAATTTCTATTGTACTTAATTAATAATTATTACTAATGCATTACGAAGAAATTTAATTATCATTATTTTAATCGTTACAATTTATAATTACTTCTTACAAAATCCAAGAATTTATTAAAAAAATTGTCTTAATTTGTAGACAAATTTTTAAACCCGAAAATAAATTATTTAAATTAAATCATAAAATTTTTAAAAAAATATCAAAATTTTATCATAAAATTTACTCCAAAAAAATTGCAATATTCTTTAAAAAAATTTTTTAAACAAATAAAAAAAAATTTATATTAAAAATGAACTTAAAAAAAAACAATTAAAAATTTTGAAATATTACTCCATTTAAAATCGAGATAATTTAGTCAAGCGATGTCCCAATGCGCCTTAGGTGCCCAATTACACTATTTTAAATACTTAATTACTTGGATCATAAACTTTTGTGACAATAATTACCAAATTTATAAATTATCGTGATCTAAAATTTGTTTTTAAACTTCGTGCAAGAACTCATTAAAAATTGATAATTATAATCATTAAAATAATTGATAATCCGTATCGCGGACCAAAAAATCGAACCCTAAAGCCCAATACGTCACTTAAATTTAAATAATAAATAACAATTTAATTACTTATTTAAGAAATAATTTCTCTCGGGTGAAATATATAATTATATTTTATTTTCTCGAGTCTTGTAATTGATGATAATAAAGTTTATCAAGTTCACGTGTTATTAAAAAAATTAAAAACTTATTATTTACTAAACATATCATTATTATTTTAATGAAATGGAAAGCAAAGAAAAATTGAATAATTTATTGATTAAGATAAAACTTGAACAGAGATGTCGATTAAATTTGTGAGCGATAAACAAGATTAACTTATTAACGCTAACATATATAATAAGTATGCGTATGTTCATATGTGGATAATGTATTATTATACACACAAATATAATAAGAATGATTAGATACTCTAGGTGTCGTTGACTTGAATATCGAAAAATTATCGTACAGCACGGTGTATTTCGGATAAATATTACTCTATCAACTTTTGTGTATACTACACACTACCAGCTGCGTATCGTTCGTAGACATAACTTGATTACAACTAAATAAAACCCAGTGTCGAGGTCATGGTTTTCAATTGATCAATTTTGTTTTGCTTTTTTTTTCTTTTACTACTTTGATTTTTTCAAGTACAAATCCGACAACCTCTTCAAGTTCAAGGGTAGCACATGTGAGCTTCAATTTTTAGCATCTGTAGCCACGGAATTTATAAGTACTATCAACCTTGCAGTCACTTGTGTACTATAAATAAATTAAATTTTGCTTCATAAAATAATGAATCTTGTTAAATTGCACTGTACTTTTTTAACTATTGACTTTTTTAAAGAAATAAGCTCATCCCGATGTTACACTCATCAAAAGCTTTCATTTGAGTACCCACATGCATTTTCATATATTTTTCATATATACATATATATAAATATATAAAATATATGAAAAATTGATGTGGGTACTCAAATGAAAGGTCTTGATGAGTGTAACATCGGGATGAGCTTATATCTTTAAAAGCGTCAATAGTTCACGAGATACAAGGTCATTTCTCAATTATGTATCTAGAGATAGAGCATTTTTGAATGCAGCCTAAATACACTGGCCACAAAATTTTCCTTATTCTTTTTATAATATAGATGAAAACTACAAGGTGTTTTTCAAAGGGATAACACTTGTATAATTTTATTTTTGTTTTACTGAGTGTGTTTGATTAAGCAATTATTTTTACCGGAGAATTTGGTATCAGTAAAAAAATTGATTTCATAAAAAAAAATTTTTTTCAAGTGAAAATTTTACTCTCAACTTTATTTATTTTCAGAGAATTAATTTTTTATGAAGTAAAGATGTTAAAATTTCTTCAATGCAAAAAAAAATAAAAAGTTTTTATTTTATTTTGTCTAAATTTTTTGTTATAATAATTTCAAGAAAAGTTTCTTAATTTAAAAAGCGCAATCTATATTTAATTTATTACAACTTAATTTTTGAAATTTAATATTATATTGTTTGAAAATTTCAATTTTTATTTATCGATACAAAATTTTCGAAATAATACTTTTTACAAATTTTTAAAAAATCATAAAATAGTGCATCTTTAATAAAAATTAATTTAACCTTGTTCTTATTGTTGAATTTACTAAATTTATTATTACCATAAAAAAATTAATCTATAACAAAAAAAATATGATTCAGTTTCTAATTTTTTTCCTTCAAAAGACCTTATCAGGTAAAATTTGATGCAATTATAAAATTATTAAATAACCGATAACCGATAAAATCAATGTACAAATATCATATCTACTCGTAATTTATTACAAGTGTTAAGTCGACTAGATAAAAAAAAAAATAAAAATACCCAAACAAAATTTTGCACATAAATAAAAATTGTAGCTAAAACTTTATTGTGAATGAAAGTTTTTCAAGAGTCACATTATCACTTATTATTCATAATTTATTATTAATTACTTACTGTAATTACTGCAATAATATTAATAAAAAATTTGAAAAGGTATTGATTTTATTCGTTTAAAAAATTAAGTGTTGAAGTAAACTTTTTATAAACTCGATAATTGGCAATAAAACTACATTTTATTAGGCAACAGCTTGTCTAGCCATCTTCAATTTATTATAAGTTAACCTTTATTGAGCAAAGTATTTATTTCGAAATAATTGGTACTATTTTAGTATGAATTTCTTGACCGGGGGCAATAAAAAAATTTTTTTACGCTATTTTACAGCGGAAATGTAAAAGTTTTTTACCTTTTAACTTTACAGAATATTTAGAAGTAATTTAAGTTCAAATTTCTAAACTTTTAATATTTTAAATAAATTTTTATCATGAAAAGATAATTTTTTAGAAATTTTATGTAAAAAATTTTGTTGGAATGAAAAAAAAAATACATAAAAATTATATATAATATTTTCATAAAAATGAAGTAAAAAATAATGACACAATTAAATTTATCAACCAGTAAGTAACAAAAAAAAAATCTAATAATAAAATACATTCAATTAAATATTTTTTTGGGTATAATGTAAGTACAAAAGAGCTAAGTAAAAAATGGAAAACTAATTTAAAGACATAACATGTTAAATGTCACATGTGGGAAAATCTTCTGACCTAGATTTTGGAGCTCTGACTAAATTTTGACGATGACCACGCGCACAATAATTAAAATCGGGTGAAAAAAGACATTAATGGTTTTTGGAGTTTATAGTTATCATATGAGTCCTTGAGACCACCCTTAAGCTTCACGAGTGAAGAACTTAGTTTTATTATATGTATATAAAAGTGTGTATGTGGATAATGTGACGCCAGCGTCGCGAAACGCGTGAGTTTTTACCCTCTGACCGGTTTTTAGTGGTAAGTATCAAGTTAAAAGCGGATAGGCCGCCGAGGTTTTCAAGTGGGCGGTTTATTTCAAAAGAAAAAAAATAAACACGTGAAATAAATATTTACTAAATATATAATTTTCATATATTTGTATTGTAAATTGTTATTATTTACTCTTTAGAGTGAATTCAAGCAATAAAATTTTTTTAATTAAATAATTAATGTATATATAAAAAAAAAAATGTGTTGGAGTTATTTATAGTGAATATTTTTGAAAAAAAGCTTATTTTGTTAAAATAACTACAACAAATTTATTTTGTTAAGGCAACTAATTAGTCTTGAGGTTTTCAAGAATAAAATTTTTGACTATTTGTTTAACCTTGATGTATAAAGAGAGTTCATAAATGTTTATAAGATTGTTAGAGAAATCGAAATCATAATTATTTTATAAAATCGTAATCAGAGTACTTATAATATCTGTAAATTATTATTAATATTTTTAAATTTGTAACAAATTGTATTTTTTATTTTTACTTGCCTTGTTAATTATTGTTATTAATATTTTAAATTTGTAATTAATTGTATTTTTGTTATTTTTACTTGCCATTTGGCCAGCAGGCTTTGGCATAAATAAATAAATAATCTAAAATCTAAATTAATTTTTTTATTAAAACATAACTCACTTTGTTATAAAAAAAAATTAATAAAATTATTACCCGTTTTTTATTATTTTTTATGAGTGAATAATAAATATCTCTCTCTCACCCATTGTACTTTCATAATTAACAAATAAGTAATAAATTAATTAATACACAAATTAATAAATAAACAGTTAATACACACAGAAAAAAATTAAATTGAATCAAAAAGAAAATTTATTTAAACCAAGAAAAATTTCTTAGTTTACAATTTTTCTACTCAAATTAATAAAATTAATTTTTCCAAAATTATTTGATCGAAATAAATTTTTTATAAGCATATTGTAAGTCATAATTAAAAAACTTTCAAACTAACCAATGCATAGAATATTTTTTATCAAAAAATTATTAAAGAATTCGCTTTTTATCGTCTTAGCGGTATGGACTTAGTACCTACTGCAAATTCATATAATGATTCAACAATTGTTGAATAATCTAAAACGTGAGGATACATTACGACCAATACATTAGTTTAAACAATACGCTGCACATATGTGCATTATTATGACTTATAATAAAAAAATTTCAATACTATCGTACGCGGGACCTTGACTATTTTTTTTCACACTAAAAAATCGCTACTGTATTAAATATTGAATATTAAATGCTAAATTAATAATTTAACTTAATGCAAGATGTGTCGGTAATAATTTAGTGCCAACGCTGAATTGTTTTGCGGCTAAGTGAATATTTTTGTTATTACTATTATATGTTAAAAAATAAATAAGACTCACTAGCAGATAGACTGGCGGCGGCACTCATTGGGACTGTCGAATTGGACGTTTGACGTCTGGAAGGCGTCGCAACGCTTCCGTATTGTGTCGTAAGGGAATCTGCCGCTGAAACCGGGTATGACCAGGTACTCGGGTCCCCTGAACTCGCTCCTGATCCTGCTGAAGCTTGTTGAGAGGAATAAGGTGGGCTGCTGTACCCTCGGAAGCTCCGGGCTCCTCCGAAAGGTTGAGAAAATGCTGGGAGGCTTTGGTGAGTCACCGTCGAGGTTGATTTAGTACCATAGTCGTCAGAAATCGGTGGTAGTGTTGATGTTAAATCTTTAAAAATTCAATCAAAATTTTTTTAGATAAAAATTTTTTTTTTTACTAAAATTGACATTTTTCTTCTTTTTTTTTTTTTTCAAGATTTCAAATGCATTAATAATATTTTTTATTCAAATTTTTTTTTACTAAAATTGACATTTATTATTTATAAAAAAAAAAATTTCGAGAAATTTTTTTTTTATTTCCGAGATTTCAACATTAATTATTTTTTTATAAAAAAAATTTTTTAATACCAAAAAAAAATAAATTTTAAGATGTGGGAAAATTTTATATGCATAAAATGAGTTTTTAAATAAATTAATTCAAGTGTCTTTTGAACTTTTTTAATAAGAAAAAATTTTTTTTTAATTACTTGAAGTCCAAAGTTGCTGAGGAGAACCAGCCAGATCAGTAGGACTGTTCATGTAGGGCAAAGTATACCCAGCACCTGCTCCTCCCATTGAACCGACTCCAGCTATACTGCGGTACAGAGATGATGAACTGTAACATTTAAAATGAAACATGAGATAGAGTACTAAGTTTTTAATTTTGAATTATTTTTATTGAGAACACATTGACGAGAAGTGTATCTGTCGCACGCCCCTGCCCATGGGAGTTCTGTCCCCATCGTTTTCTACATTATATCCATGACTAATTTATAATTTACTCGACAGCTTAACTAAGCGCCTAGTAAAACTGTATTGGAATTGAAAAAAGAAACTAGATATTTATTAATTACGAAAAAAATGTAAATTTTAGAATTTTTAAATTTACATTTTTACATTATTAAAATTGTTACAAAATTCTTGGCTCAAGAAAATTTGTCGGGTGTCTGAAGGAAAACCGAAGTTAATCAATAAAAATATTAATGAAAATTTACTTCTATCTTTATATATAATTTTTTGGAGCAAGAGAGAAATTTTCTCAAGACAAGAAAATTTACTTTTATCAAGAACTAAATTTTTTGGAGCTTCGAGGCTAAATTTTCTCAAAACAACAAGATTTTCTTGACTTAAATAAATTTTCTTGGATCAAGATACCTACTTCTTAAAGCAAGAGGATTAATTTTGTTGGAAGAAGTGAAATTTCTTGTCAAAAAAAAATTTTTTTTCGCTCAAGAAAATAATTAGTAAGAAAAATATTTTCTTGGCTCAATAAGTGAACTTTTTTTCACTTTTATTATTTTGAGATTCAAGTTTGACTGGAATTTTTCAACTCGACACATGTCATTAATTTATTATTAAATCTCACTGACCCTCACATTAGTTGCAGTGAGTGGCTACTGTTACAAACTAGTGATCAAAAAAATGATACCTTTAGATAAAAATCGAGGATTCAAAAAAGGCGCAAAGATCACCGGTGACTAGTCACCAGAAAAACACTTAATACCTGGAAAAGGTAAGGCATGACTCACTCTGGAATTCAGAGTAGATAAGCTCAGACTCCCTAAGAATGTTTTCGAGCCCGTCGATTGATCCTTATTAGTATTTTTATTTAGCACGGATGAAATGTGTGTGTCTGTAGATAGTAGGGGCGACACTATATTGTACATACGCATCAAGCTGACGGTTGTCTCGGAGCATTAGGCCGCGTAATGGAGTACTCATGTCAAGTCCTGGTGGTCAACTTGTTACCGTGATGGTAATGGGTAAATCGGTTGGGTTAGAATCACTCGTCGCGATCTAGGGGATCCGTTAAAAACCTGTAACCAAGGCACGCGCCCGCATTACAACCACCTTAAATCCATCCTCCTTGATTCCGGTCTCTGAGGGCCTTGTTTCCGCTTTTTTAAATTACTCTACCCCCTATGACGATTAGCAACATTTTTCTTCTTAACATAAATTTTTTTATTATTATTATTATTAAAATAAAAATTTGTAGTTAGAGTAATATGTTAAAGACCGATTAATTTTAAATAAAAATGTCCACGTATACTGAAGATGATAATTATTATTATTATTATTATTATTATTGCTATACTATTATTGCCTTTATTTAAACCAACACTTCTTATAATAAGGGGCAATAATAAAAAATTACCCCAATATCGTTCTAATTAGCAAATTGTCTAACTCCATTTTAAAGAATCTTCTATTTGTACGAAAAAAATAATTAGTTCAAAATTTATTATCACTTTAAAAAATCATTAATATCTAATAGAGATATAATATTTAGGTTTGAATCATTCAAATAATTTATAATTGGATTGTTAAAAAATCACCCTCTAAAAAATAAGGAGTTAGACAAATTGCTAATTAGACCGTCGACATATAGGGTAGAAGTACTGTTTGTGGCCACTGTACCGTTTATGGTCATTTATTGTTCAAATAAACGATAGAAATGAATTTATATTAATAAACCATTAATATTAACATTAAATTAATATTAATTTTTTATAAATTAACTCAAATGTTACCTTATAAGAGTTATACCATGATAAAGTTTTTATTATGATAACTGATTACTATACACTAAGAGAAAAATTTTCATTCCTGCAGCTAAGAAATAAAGAAATTTTTTTTTTATCGTATAGGTCAAAAACAAGGCATTTTTTATCGAATTATATCATTAATGTCTTGTGTAAATTTTTTTCTTAATTGTGATTGAATTTTTTTTTAATAAGCCTCGGCATTTTACCGAAAATATTAAGATCTAAGTAAGTTTTGGTAATTGCTCTTTTATAGCTTTTTAATTTAATTTTAATTATAACATATTTTTAACACAAAAAACAAAATCTTTGATTAAGATATTTTTTTCTATTTTTTTCAAAATTTTCAATTCGCTTGTATTGATTAACATAATTTTTTTTAAGAATATATTCTAAGGATTGACATTTTTTAATATTTCAATTTTTTCGCATAAATAAGAACTCTTTTTTCCAGAAAATTAATCACATACAGCGCAAAGAAAAATAAATGAATAATTAATTAATTAATTGACCGATGTGCAGTATAACAATAAGAAAAGCGACAAATGTACAAAGTTAATGTCAACATTATGATAAATAGCCTTGAAGACGTACCAGTTAGCAAGCACGTTCAAAAGTAAGTACGTGCTTAAATGAGTGTCAAAAAAAAAAACAAAACATAACATTATGATATCAAGCGAATGCACGTGTGCATTTTTCTTACTACCGCATCCGTATTTTTTTATTTAACTTTGTATTGTGTATGTACACATTTTTTCGCGATGTATACTTGTCTTTTTCTTTGTTTTGTTATAAGAAATAAATCTCACTGTTTACAAATATGGTCAAAGATAATGGATTTATTTATTTTATTTCATTTAGTATTTTTTTTTTCAGCTTGAGTTTTAAGCCGCTGTTAAATATTTTAATCCCTTAAAAAAATTTACTACAGAAGATTGTAGAATAAATAGTTATTATTGTTAAATGCCGTTGATTGAAAATAAAAACTAGCGGTATTTTGTGCGCACGTGTAAACATATCCTGAACTTAATTTTGCGTTAAGTGCAACGCGTGCCGTGGATTTACGGATGAGCAATTAACAGGAAAATAAACAGGAATATTACTATTTCATTGTCGTGTTTGTAAAAGTGCATCTGCGTGTTTCAAATGAATACACATTTTTTTTTTACATTTGTATGTCAGATTAGGCCAAAAAAAATTCAATTAAAATTTTTTCAAAAATTCATTTTTTTAAATATTATAAAAAATTAAATTTTTTATGTCAAGAATAATTGATAAAAATTTTAAAAATGATCCCAAAAATTCAAAAAAAAAAAAATCTATAAATAATTAAGATGATTTATTTAATCAAAAAAAAATTTTTTTTGAAATGATTTAATAAATGAAAGTAAAATTGTTCAATATATCATTATTTGGATAAAAAAAAAATTTATCGGTAAATTTATGAATAATTATACACGTAAAAAAAAACAACCGAAAGCCTTATAATAAAAATTCAATAATTATCCAATAAAAATTTTTATTTCCGAAATAATGGAGGTAAAAATTTATAAAATCTATCTTATGTTTTCGATGAAAAAATTTAAATTATTAACTTAGATGAAAATAAAATTTGTTATCAATAGTAAAATAAAAATAAAAAATGCGTCCGGAAATGACATATTGGATCCGTAAATGAATACGAGAATAAATAAATAAATAAATAATTAGTAAATTAAGTACTCGTTCATTAAATTGAACCGCGATATTTGATCCTACGCTCTTTATTGGTGGTCCACAGTATACTAAGATTGCGCTTTATTTGTTTAGTTATAGTGAGCTGAAGTATTTTATGCTTGTATTAATACTATACGTGCATTAGCGTAAATATATACAGTAACTAATACACTTTTTATGATGAATACTATTTAATTATTAGTATTAGTATTACTTGACGTAGTAAAAGAGACTCCGATTTCTTCTGAGAATTATTGACGCTCTCTTGCGACTATGTATTTTTCCATTGATGCTATCAAGGGTTTTCGAAAAAGTTAGAGAAAATTTTTGTCAAATTTTTCATTAAATTTCATAAATATCTGGCGGTTATGTGACTACACTAATTAACAAGGTAAAATGATAATTATAATGGATTTAAATTAACATTTCAAATTTATATAGTCCATTTTTTTTACATAAACTCAATTTTTATTATAATTAGGGCCAAGATTTTTGCCTTAATTTCTACATTAATAGCTTAAATATTTTATTTAATTTTAATCAATATTTTTACCGTAATTTTAAAATTAAAATTCATATAATTAATGATTCAATTTTTGCTAAATATAAAAATTTTAATTTTGAAGTTACGGCTTTTATATTGGTCCTAAAAAAAAATCATCAAAGACATTTTTTTTTAGAAAATTAAATTTTCTATAACTTTAGTTTTAAAATTTTTTGTAACATTAAATTTAATTAATTATTAATTGTTATTTTGAAATTAAAGAAAAAATCTTGGCCTTAGTTACAATAAATTAATAAAAAAAATTAATTTAATTCAAGATAAAAATTCTTGAGCCAAGAAAATTATTTCCAAGAGTTTAATAAACATTAATCGAGTGAATTTTTGATTCAAGTAGGTTTTAATTAATTAAAGAATTTTTCTCTTGGACCTACTCAATTAATTATTAATTTATATCTATAAAATTAGCATTCGTTTATTTATAAACAAACCAAAAGTGTACCCGTTAAAACCCAAAAAGTATTATTACTTTTATTATATTGAAATATAAATGACACTTAAGTCGCTGTGAAAAAGATGCATCTCGTTTCATATGAGAAGTTGAAATACGGAATTTATGTAATATTATATTACAAGTAAAGAGGTTATTAGCCCTATTATTTTGCTATGTACGTCCGGCATTTGATAATTTCTCACATGCTGATAGAATATCATTTCTCACGATATTAATTATGTATATATTATTACAATTATGATTTTATTTGTCGTGATTGTTTCTTTAATTTTTTATAAAATTGTGAACAAAAAATTGATTAATAATCCAAACTTTTAATTTATTTAAGCCAAAATTAAGCTTGTAAAAATGGCGCGAAAATTTA